TCGTGCAATCTAGAAAAATGACAAAACGCTGTGTAAAATGACAAAAGCTGGTGTAATTTCACCATCATCGATCTTGCTTTTCTTGAAACCGAGTTAAATGCAAATACTCGTGAAGGGCTTTTAACGGTGACAGTAATGATAACAAATTTTTCTTTTAACAGTAAAATGTTTCTCATAGAAGCAAATGGAATAATCGATTAAAGCTTTCATATCCACTATTCAAATGTTTTATTATTTCGAATATTATATTTTGCTATTTCAATATCATTCTATATTAATAATAATTTAAATTTTCACAATGAACACTGCGAAATAATAATGAAGATATATCTTCACATTCTAAAGTATTCATGGAATTGGAAGATAATTTGAGAAGCAAATAGAATATGATCAATTTATTTATATTTAATTTTACTTTTTTAAATTATTATTCCATTAATCTTCCCAGAAAAAGCGAATATATCTCTCTATTATTCCAGTGGAATAAAAATTCCACTGTAATGAGTTTGAACTCATTACAGGAAAAACTTTTGTCTCTTTTAATTATCTTGGAATAATTCCTTCGTATAAAAGGGAAATAATTCAAAGATCAAAAATATGTTAAAAAAAAAAAAAAAAAAAAATGCACTTGTCTCCAGTATTCGATTATCGATAGGCTATCGGTTGCACTCGATGCTCCATTTTTTCAAAGAGACGTTTAAGGGCTTCATTTAAGATACGCTGAAAAAACATTTTCTTTTTTCTTTTTTTTTATGGACGAAAAATTATTTGAAATACAAGGAAATGAAGTATCGTTTGATTACGATTGTCTGAAAAATATATTCCATAGAATTCTCGAGGCATAAACTTCGCTTGTATTTACTCTTATGCTTCGTCGTATCGATTTTTAATTATTGTGTTGAAGAGCAATGAGTGGTCTTCGATAATTTGGTTTAAAACACGAACGATACACGTTTCACCATAAATTATGGCTGTTCGAAGTTTATATACGTACACAAAATCTAAAAATAGATAGGATGAAATCTGTACATCGTGTATTCAAATTATCCAATTTCTAACAAAAGTACCTAGATTTGTAACTTCATTGAATTTCAAGCAGTTTCAAATTTAACATAGTTCCCTCGTATAATTACATCATAATTTTACATTTCGTTACAACAGCGAACTTTCGTGCAACAACATGCGTTAAATATTCACTCGTTTTCACAATTTTCTTGAAATAGCAACTCCAGAGAAAATAAAAATCTAATAATACGGTGGATAATCAAATTATTATAAATACTTGAAGAATGGAAGTGAAAATATCTGTCTTTTTAACGATTTTAAATATTCGCTTAAGATCGAATATTAAATAAAAGTAATATCCAATTCTAATTTAAAGAAAAAGAGATTATAATTTTAATATTGATTTTATAATTCTAATTATAATATAAAATATATTTACTTTATATTGATCATTTTTTCTATTATCATATATATATATTCTTATCAAATTAGATTCAATTCCATTCTCGTTCCATTCTAACGAGATTCCTCTCAAACGATAATTTCCAATTGTGTTCGCAATAATTCCGTCATCCATCATTGTAAAACAGTCGATGAGGGTCAAATGAAGAGAATCAAGATTCGTAAACACGCGTGTAAAACTGAAAATAAAAATCGTTCAAATAAAAAAAAAAAAAGGAAAAAAAAGCATGGTATACATCCCCCATCCATCATTTAACAGCAGGTAATAAAGGAAAAGATGGTAATAAAATTCCCATTAATGTGTAATCCAAACCATGATATACGCCTTCTCCGTGTTTTCTTCCTTCTCCCGAGAAGAATCCCAATAAATCACGGGCATAGTGAAATTTGCATAATTGCAGGCCCGATATTCAAATTCGAGCGCGACGTCCGCGTTTTCTAACACGTGCGTCTGAATCGATAATATCCGGTGACACACATTCTTGGCGCGGAAATGCGTGATATATATCATCTTTATGCTCCGTGGATGGAAACGAATAATAATCTTGCAACGTTAATTCGCATCGGCACACCCCCTTTTGAATCGTATCGATTCGATAGAAGATAGTTTCTCTCGGTCCGGTACCGGAAGATCGATACAGTGTGTTATGAAATAATGTTTTCGATAATCGCATCGACGTGCACGTCAATTTCTCTAATATATCAGTATGAATGTGTGTCAATATTTGCTCCGTAAGAATATGTTCTCGAAGATATGTAATTTATGAACGTCTTAGCATTCGAATATTTTGCGATACGAACATTTCGTTCTTGAAAAGTTCTGAAAAGTACAATGGCGTATTAATATCGTCGTCCTTTTTTACATTGTATCTTTACAGAATTTCACGAGGAACAAAAGTGAGGAAAAAAATGATTTTATGAATATTATATAGGGTATAATGTACGATTAAAATTACGTATACATATGCGTTAGATTTTTGAAAATGTATGCCTCTTGATTCCATTCAATTTTTATTTTCGTATTTTTGATACTTACTATTATAGAAATAATATACATTTAAAACAGATATACTGTATGCATTTATATAAATGTAAACTTCGTTTCAACTGGTACAGACTCGACAAAGATAACAGGATTAAACTCTTTCCTCTGTTAATTACTAATTTAAAATAAAATATAGGATTCGAATCTGATTTTTATTCAAATAATAATAGCTAAATCAATATTCCAGTTCGACATTCGTTTCTTTTATTATTAAATTGTGAATTTCAATAGGAATTATATCTACGTTATTTTTGGGGCAAAATGACGAACGAAACATATTGTTGGATCGAAGATTAAAGTAGAACGAGTCTACAGGTGGCATGTATCTTCGATTCTTCTACTTTCCGCCCTTTCATCGATCTCTCTGTACCAAATTTCCACGCCAGCTTTCCACGCTACTGATTTTCTCGTCAAAGAATCTATGTTTCGAAATATGTCATGGAATATTTAAAAATACTTGAAATATTGAAAGAGATTTTTTCACGAAAAGGTTTTTGTCAAAATTATCACAAAGTATTATTATGGAAGATCTACATGGAAGATCCTAATGATTAATAACTCAACATCGATGTGGAAAAATTCTCTTTAATGAGAAATTCGTGCACTGTGATTCACCTATGATAAATAGAACCGACTAATTGTTAATAAATAAATAAAAAGAATAAACGTGCAAGATATTTAAAAAAACAAATGAACATACGCAACGCATAAAGCTTAAATCTATCTACCATCGTAACTAAAATTAATCTTTATTACTTCTACTATTATTTATTATTCACCTATCAACATTTTATCTTTACGAAATTATATTAAAAGATAATTTTGTACACATAACAATTAACAATTACGAAAAACCAAAAGAAAAAAACAAATCCTTTTTACAAAGCTCAAAACTATTATTCAGAATAAGAAAGTATCCACTTTCGAGCGACAGTGCGTGCCTTCTCCAATCCTCTTAATAATATTTCATTATTCAATCAAAAGAAAAATTAATCTAATCCAACCTTCTCTATCTGAAAATCACACACGCGTGAAAGAGGGCTAATAGAAGGCGAACAACTGGCGTGCAATCCGCGTATCGGACAGAGTCGGTCGTAGAAACATCGGCTGGATCGATCGCGAAAGTTTAATTAATTATCGACGAGCTCGCGGGACAGCGCTAATTGCTTTCTCGAGCAACGCGACGTTGGTCGTGATTAAGGCTTCCGGTGGGAGGTGGTGTGCTGACCCCAAGGTTGAAATTAAGAATTAACCTGCGGGTCTCGCGGGACGTGTAGCACCGGCTACTTTCATTCTCGCGCCGAAGGCGACAAATTGGCCGGGCTTCGATCGAATAAATCACCGGCCGAGAAGAATGAAATAGCGTTCGACGGAAATAGAATCCAAAGGGAAAAGGGAAAAAGGAGAGAAAAGGGGTTGCGACGAGTTTCTAAACGCTGATATTACAGTGCATCTTGGCGAAAAATTATTTATATTGGTATATCTGTCTGTGTATACTTGAATCTGAAAGTTTATAACTTTGTCTTTTTATTTGTTAGTATTTAAAGTGACAAGAAAATCTTTACTTCTTTCAATTTTCAGGTGGATATGATATTGTTGTTCCTAGTTAGTCATTCTGTTTTGACTCATACTCTTCCTTGAAGATATAATACTATCAATTCCAAATTCAAATATACTACTACGTAAATAGATATCCAAGAAATATTCTACTCCTATAATTCTACTTTAACTTTTTATTTATAACTAAATACGAAGATGAAAGTGATCGAAAAATAATTAATAATTATATTCTGATTTGCCAGTCGATTATCAAAAAATTGTAGTACAGCTTCAAAACTAATATCGAATATCAGACCTGAATACTTGGAAATACAATAAATTCGATGATTCTTTAGAATGTACGTCATCTATAATAAAACATTATTGATAAACAAGGTTTAATATGGCGAAGAATAATTGTAAAATGTGATTGTTCGTGGGATTTTTTGAATTAGCTACGAAAATAAATATGATGTATGGTTTCCTCTGTATATATGAAAATTCGATATGACATGCTGCGTTATTTCATCTTTCGTTATTGGATCCATAATGATTCAAATAGAGAATATAAAATAGAATTCTAATTTCCTGAACGATGAATTTATGAGGATACATATTGGAGCATCATTGATTATTTTTCAACCGAATTTGTTTGAAACATAATATTGGAAATAATATCTTCGAATTCTTTCTCCGTGTGTTTCGAAATTATTCTTTAAAATATATTTGCAATTATGACACGCGAGCAAATAATGGAAAATATTTTGAAATATTAATAAAAAAAAAAGAAGAATCGTATGCATCGATACGCGAGATTTAATTTGAAAAAAAATGAACGATGAATATTAATAATATCGAATTACCATTAAAATTTCAACTCAGAGATATTATGAAATAATAATTCGAATTCTTCACTGCAAAAAATTGTATGCTTACATATAAAACTCACCTGATAGCTGGCGTTCCGACTGCGAGCGTGGTTGCTGCAAACTCTGCAATCAAACGAAAGAATTCGATCAGTTTGAAAGTAGATCATTATAGAATAACATCAAGTTTCTAAACTATGCTTGGGAAAAATATATCGTGACTCGAATTTGATCTCCTTTTATTCCTCTATTTCGTAGTATTTACGTATCAAGATTGAATTTTTTTTCGTGAAAACAAACAAACCCTAATTGTACATCAAGCTTGTACTTCACTTCGAATAAAACCGTAGAAACGGAATTCTTTGTGCGACGATTCTCATTTCGCAGTTATCGTCTATTCTTTTCTCTCGTTCCGCGAAGGAAAATGCACGGTAAAGCAGGTTGAACGTGTAAATTTCCTCCTATTTGCATAACAATTTCCTGTTACTTTGCGCTGGCATTTCAGACGAAGTTTTATTTCTACATCTCAGGCAAGTTTCAAATCTAGCTCAATAACATTCCTTCAAAGGCTCGTCGTCTTATTATTTTTTAATGCGTTTGTTGAATATCCTTTTTTTCTTGTTCTCAAGAAACGCGGACAAACGAAATCATGACCAATTAAAAAAAAAAAAAAAAAAAAAAAAAAAAAAAAGCAATGAAAATTCTACGAAATTAAAATTCGATTCTCGTATTAAAATTAAAACGTTTAATTCCGCCAAATAATTCCGACAAAACGTGCACAACCTCGACCGAATTATTAATTAAATCAGGGGTAACGAGCAAATTTATATAAAATTAGCATCGGTTGATGGCCAACCGATTTGCGCATTTTCTCAAATCGTGTTGACGCTTAATTGGCTATGTCGAAATTTACGTGGGCGCGTATCATCATCATATTTTACGTGCAATTAAAGCTCCGCGATGCGTGGGGAGCGTGCTTCGTTGGGGAGAGGAAAAAATAAAGGGAGAGAAAATGGCCACGGGGTTGGCAATGGGGAAACGGGAGAGCGGAAGAGATCGAACCATGACCTACATACGTCGAGATATCGAACACAGCGTCGAAACAAACGTACGACCATGACCTTATCGTGGAGGAAAGCGATTCAGCGATTAACATCGTTATGTGTGTTATAATTTAATTGTGCGTGATTTCATTAAAAAAAAAAAAAAAAAAAAAAAAAAAAAAAAGGGCAACGTGTGGGTTGGCGACATTCTAACCCCCTCCCTCTTATGGAAAATAGACGGGGATATGATGTGTTGTTATTAAATTCACGTTTTCTACGCTTTGATAAACTTGTTCTTTGCACGAAACGATATAATTTTTTCGATTATATATTCGTGTCGATTAATAAAAGACAAGTGATAACGCTGATATTTAATATTTGGGGAAATAAATAATAATAATATTGGATTGTATTTAAATAAAAATGGTATTTTAAATAAGATGTAAAATTTCAACGAATAAAATATTTTTATCCTTAACGATACGAACCACAAAGTTGAGTATTTTATTTTAATAATCTGGCATAAAGTAAAATTATTATATTGTAATGACGCAGTTCTTTGATTTGAAATCTAAGAACTGCGTCATTTTTATTGTGGAGATATTGCAAGACGTTAAGGCGAGGACAAGTTGTAAATAATGGTATAAATAATAGTTGTATTACCATTTTTAGTACACGATATATAAAGAGAGATTAGAAAATCAATATATACTCATAAATGTATTGAATGGGAATCATTACTTTCAGCAATAATATTTAAAATAAAGGAAACAAATTAAGATAAATTAAATATTTTAATATAAAATCCGAATAAAATGGTATTTTCAATTACTATTTAAAAATTTTTCCGTATCAAATAAAATATTTCATTTTCAAAGAATTATAAAATAGAATTATCCGGTATTTATTATATTAAAATGATATTTTATTCAGCTCTGGTGCAGAGTTAATTTTAAAAATAATAATGAATTTTCTTTCGACATTTTTTTAGAGCTGAAAGATATTTTCTTGTTTGATTGGATTATGAGCTTTGAAATGTCAACGCCTTGGAATATTAAAATAGTTCGTATTTGTAAAATAAACTTTTTATAATATATTCTTCATTTCGTATTTATAGATCTCGCGAATTCAATTTTATCCGAATCTGTGGGTGAATATATTTCCCTATTTTTTATTATTCATGTTTTTTAATCCATTCACAATCATTTCTTTCGATATTTAAATGGCTTATACTCGATATTATCCTTTATAATTTTATATTTCTCTGTACGAAAAATATAAAATATCGTGCCAGTATATGAATTTCCAATCTATAGATTAACGATTGTTTTGTTTAAAATTATTTTTTACGTAGAATTTTATTGATTTCATTTAATATTGCACGTATTCTAATATTATTTTTCATACTTTCAAAACTTTACCGAAATGTTAGAGAGCAAGAATTTCGTAAGAGATTATGTATGCATATCTGGAAAAGGTTAAAAGAAAAGAGACAATAAATGGGGATAAATGTTATTAAGGATAATTAGTTTTGATGTTGACAAAGAGATTTTGAGAAAAATATCGATAACGACGTAATAAAAATTGATTAATTGATAATGATTGTAAATAGAAAATAAAATCATAAGCATTAATATATCTTACTTCATTGATATTTGGAAAATTTTTCCATAAAGGAAAAAAAAAAAAAAAAGAATTCAATTTTGAATTTTAAGAATTTAATTTAAATTTAATTTAAACATTATAAATTGTTGTATTAATAAATATAATTTTAGATTTCTAGATTAATTTGGATTTCACTTTACAGAGATATTTCGTTCATCAAAATAACGTCATATAATTTAATTGCGCCAAATAGAATCAAGTTAGAAAGCAAATTCGAATTCACCTCGATATAATCGCATTGCATTTAATACATACATCCTATTAAATGGAACCGCATTTTACCAAAATCATCGATGTGAATGTAATATTATTAATCTCCAGTAGAAACAGTTGTTATATGCATGCAGCATCATTTTAGCATTTCATTTGCATTTCAGAGATACGAAATTTAAGACGAGAATATGTATTACGAAAATATTCGAAATTAATTGTCCTTCACCGCAAAATACGAAACGATAAACTGTTTAATTACGTTTAAATTGTAAATTTTCAAAAAGAAAAACTGGAACACAATTGCAAATATTTCTCGAACAAATAACCAATAATTAATTTTCTTTTTTCTTTTATAAGCTGCATAACTTCAAAAAAATTTCGATAATTCCGATTCCATGAATTTATTTCCTGTTTTTATCAACACAATTTCTTTTCTCTCTCTCTTTTTTTTTTTAATGTATTGCAAATAATACGATTCAAGAAAAATTATCCGTAAAAATTTGTCTTTGTTTCTTGATTTCAATCTTCAATTGAATCGTAAAATCCGTATCGACTTTTTTCCCAATATTTCTCTCCGAAGTTCCATCCCAAACGATGATGCGAAGCTAAATTAAATTATTAAACAACTCATTCTTTCTTTTCATCGAATTGATATATGATCTCGGATAATCATTCCATTTAAAATATTCTTATCGACACCATTTGATCGACGTTAATTCCTTTTTTATTCACCTATTACATTTATACCATTATGAAGAATAATTTTTCATCGATGCATTAATTTCTTTGCGCAAGAAATAATAAGAATAACGATAAAATATAAATGTAAAGTCAACATCGATGACACGAATATCAACAAAATAAATATCGGTAAATTCAATGTGTCAATAAACGATATTATCACAATTGTCATAATATCAATCGAATAAAAATATCATCGATGAATTTGAAATGGGGACACATCCGTAATATTCACGTTATCGTATTATTATTCTATAATCATTTACTATTAAACGATAAGAAAACAAATAAATTAATTTTCAATTAAAATCGTGAGGCAGATAATAGAGTTCACTGTTATACATTGAATCTCTCTTTTCAAAATATTTCTTTGAAGGTTTGTCGGTCACATCACAGGTGCAATGATTTTTTCTCCGTTCTCTTCTGTCCTTTCGTGCATACAACCCACACACGATAGTTATTAAAGCCACGAGAGACACCGACCGATTAATATGTCGACATGGCTCACTGCTCCATTAGCTTTGATCACTTATTATCATCTAGATCCTTCGCGAAAATGTGTGTTCACCAAGGCGATGCTCACTCGTGTGCAAATTCTCGTGTATCGACATTTCATTGATAACGCGGATTCAACAATGGAATTGTACCGAAAACCAATTGATAAATCTATCCTTTGCTATCTCTTTCTGGTGTTTCTTATGCAGTTTCCACTCTACTTTCTTTTTCTCTTTTTCTTTCGTGAAAACTTTAGAGATGAATTCAATTGATGGAAAGGATGGATATTTCATTTTCTGATTCTTAATTTGTTGTAGTAACATAATTTCTATGTTAATATAAGAATATCTTTGGCGTGAAATTAAAAGTTAGTTATCTTCTCTTTTTTTTTTTTTTTTTAAATTTCCTTCGAGTTTTATTCCAGGCATAGAAAATTTAATATAAAAAAATTATTCAAGAAATCAAAAATTGAATAATGATTATCGACACAACGGTTTATCTTATAAATTCATTGAATTCTCCAAATTTGATTGACGTCTATTTCTTATTTTACAATGACTTCGAATTCTGTAATTTTGAATGTTTTATGAGTGTCGATCAATAGTGAATGATTAACTGAATTCGTTTATAGAATAAATTTATTAATTTCAATCGAGATTTCGAGATAATAATATCGTATTTCACCATCGTATGTAACTAAAAATTTATAAAAAGCCGTGACACGAACTAGAACTATAAATAACGTTGCTCTTCGAAGGACCAAAAATATTACTTCAACTAAAATATCATTTTTAAGCCAGTCCATACCGATTAACAGTTGATATTCCATAACGTAACAATGGGATACGCTCGTGATTTATAGACACTGAATATGGTGAGCCGCAAGCAGATCAATAAATTGCGAGTAAATAACACTCAGTTGGTTACACACTTTGTACCCAATTTTTTATCGTTTCATTCGAGGATAAAAAAAAATATGGACGAATAAATAGAATATTACGAGTTCGTGTAAACTGTATTCGCTATGAATTATTGTTATTATTTCAAACAACCATTTGTCTTCTTTTATTTCTATTTCAGTAGTAATTATAGTCTGTAAAAAATTGAATATTACAAAATTGAATATTATAAAATTGATAGTAAAATCAAATCACTTACTTTTCCAAATATACTCTATCATTCTCTTATAACTACAAGAGTTATAAACAATTTGACTCGAATATTTAGTTTGTTTTTTAGTGAAAAAATTATAATTTTTTCTTTTCATTTTGGAGTTGGAGCTGAAAGCTTTGCTTATGTTTTTTCAAGTGTGCCGACTGAAATTATATTTATCTTTCACTGAAAATAATTAATGGACAATCGAAAAATTCGTTAATATTTAACGTATAATTGTTTTACATTCCTTTTCTTTTTTTTTTTTTAATTCCAATCATCGACCAATATATTTAAAAATCTATACAAATGAACATATTTTTATTTTTTATAATCTTCAACTGAAAATATGGATATAATGGAATTAAAGTATTTTTTCGAAATTGAAAATTAAATTGTACGAATAATAATTCTTACAGAAATACATTGATAATAACAACTTACTAATCAAACTAAAATATTCGATCAATCAAATAATTTTACCGCCCAATTATAGGAACCATCGAAATTCAACTCGATGCTGCAAAAATTCGAATGATTTATTTTCTCCCCCGGCATAATCGGTGGCAAAAATGGCCGAAGTAAGTACAGAATATCGGTTCGAGCGCGAAGGGTCGTTTTTAGCATCAAAGAACCGCTGCTGACCTTGAACAATTTACGTATATACCAGGCATCCACCGACGGCGAGGTTAAAATCGTTATCGAGTCGCTTTGAAATTGTCCTATAAATTGCGACTATTACTCAATACTTGGCGTGAAAATATTCAAAGAAGTTGGAGGTAAAGAAGTTTGTGACTCGTGTCAATGCGAGGCGATCGTCACGATATCAAAGAGAGTCCTTCTCCGGATAAATATAGAGCTGGCTCACGCTATTTGCCCATACAACGTCAACGAATGAGAATTTATGGCATCCCTCAGGACACAGAGGATCGTTCGCCTTCCGTTTTCTTTCGTGCGATGGAGAATACATAGTTCATAGGTGCGGGAATGATGAACTATTGTTGTTGCTCCATGAGATGGATTTTAAGTGTTTCCTAGCGTGAGATAATATTGTGACATTATGAAATATCTAGGTAGAGCAGTAGTTTCAGGTATGATAAACATGGAAGAGATTTAGAGATCTGGTGTAAATATAACGCCTATGAAGTATCCGTGGAATTAAATTCTAAAAATAAAAAATGTACTTATTAACCTGATTACTGTTAATTTTTTTTTTTTTTTCGTTAGAATTATTCGTTAGAATTTTTTTGAAATCATAGAAAATTTTGTTTTTGAAGAATCAATAGCAGGCTTTAAAATCAATATATGGTAATTTTTAATATATGAATGTAATTGCATAAATATGCAAATTCGTATATCTATGAATATTATTAACGAGATGAAATTTAAATATAAAAATTTGCTGTTTAAATATTGTAATAAAAATTTTATTTTGTATATTTTTGCCCGTTAAAATTTTCCATAAACGCATGAATATATTCGTAGTACGATAATGATGGTGCTCGAAGAATTTTCAAAAATTAATTACGCGAGGTGAGATAGGTGAGAAGGTTATTTTTTTCAGATAGGGGAAATAAAAACGATCAATGAGGAACAAAGTACTAATCCCAGGTGTAAAAAGAGACTATAGAAACTGCAACCGACTAATTAACTGTGAAAATGGTCGACGAAGAGTCTAAAATTAGCGATCAGTTCCAACAACTATCGATCCTCCATTCGTTTTACGTTCTTTCTTTCATTTTCAAACGGAAATTTGAAATATTCTCTTGTTTAAAGAGCTCCCGCATTTCATTTCAACGTCATCAAATGATAGATTGAGAATAAAAAATAAAACTAAATTCATAAAAATTTTCATATAAATTTTGAAGATTTGAAGAATTAAAACGAAGAAAAATTAAAACGAAGATAAAAAGCGAATTAAAAAGAAAAGAAAAACAAGAGAACTATCGTTTAATTTATCTGTAATCATCGACTCATCCGCAAAATACATCGACGATCCGTAAAGTAAATGGAGATACCCGTCGTGAGGAGAATTAAGCTCATCATCCCCTCAAACTATCCATGGTTCTATCATTGTACGAAGCGTGCATACACGTTACAATATTAAAGAAAATCCGATTGACTATCGAGATATCGAATACAAGGGGACCTGCTGCGAAAGGAAATTTAAAATTTCCTGTTTAACAAAGTTCCAATTTTACGACAAGAGTGGATAACATCGATCGTCCTCGATAAACATCCGATCGCAAACGCCAATCTTGTTCGATGCTTGTTTCAATAGCCGCGAGGAACTTCCAGTTCCAAACTTGTAATCGTAATTTCCCTAACTTCCGGCTCAACAACCACTTCCTCGAACGAGGTTTCTCGTGGATAGCCATCTTTCGTTACTTCGAATCTTCGAAGTACATCTGTATCCCATTATACGATGATTTTGACGCTCTTGAACTTTTTTTTAATCATTGGATTAAAACATTTCTGAAATGAATACGAATATTTACATCTCGTGCAATTTGTACAAAATTGAAGAAAATCGATATTTCATATGAACATTTCATAGCTGATGCAAAATATTTTCTACAACGATCAAGATGAATCTTGTGCATAAATTATATTATCGTTAATCACTTTACATTAATAAAACTGAAGATGCTAATACTCGTGGCTGAGTAATGAAAAATTCCTTACAAATACAAGTCAAGACGAATTTGTAAGAAGAAGAAACAGAAACGAATGTAAAACAAACGTGTAATACACTCCAATTTCCATGGAAATTATCGAGTAATCGTACGAGAGAGAAACGAAATCCCGTATTTCGCGTGTCGAAATTGGCCATAACGACGGAAAACGACTGGGCGCGTACATAGGAAAACGAGGCATGAACGAGCTCGAACAAGAGTGCAAGGCTCGCTCAACCGATTGAATTCAACTGGGATCGGTTAATTTGCAAGATATGCGACTCGGCGTTGCCCCGTAGCAGGTGTAGATACCTGTCATGAAAGGGAAATTAAGGTTCATCGTGCCAACAAAGTGTCAATCTTACGATGGCCTGAGCCGGCCCACACACGCACGCGGTGTTACAAGCAGCGGTGAAATACAAATACCGTGTACGCCCGATGGTCAATGCCACGCAACAACGTATATACACGGTTCACGTGGGCAGAGACTAATGGTGGCCCATAAGCGGGGATCACCGAACGGAGCAACAGCCCGAGTCAACGTATCTCAGCTCGGTAATCTCGATGCCAAATGCCGTACACGCTTCGCTGCCAAGTGATTAATGCCCTCTATTGAAGCTAGGACGATGCCTTCGAATCCCGAACTTGGATACCACTTTTCCTCGTAGACTCGTCGCTTGTTATCGATATTTAAAGAAATATCTCGAGCATACCTGATCTATCTACCACGATATCATGAATAATTGTCGATCGAGTATGACGAGTATGTTGTGTCGTTGGTTATTTATGATCGATCGGGTTGATTGGATCGAAGGAAGATTTTGGGAGGAAGGTTTTCGGATTTGTATTCTGAGGAATATTGCGAGAGAGACATTTGTTACGGTTCGAAGATGAACGAGATTTTTCATTTTTCAACGAGCATATGATTTATCCTCGGTGAAAAGTGTAAAGATTATTTTTCTCCATAGCTAATATTCAAAGTGAACAAAATAATGTCGATTTCTACTTTTGATTAATAGGATTCAGATGATTCGGTCGTGATAAAGTAAGATTTATGCCTGTTCAATAATAAACGAACAACAAGATGGAAATATTTTTGAAGATCTGGAAATTATCGTAAAACAACAAATATCCATAAAAAGATTTGTAAATAATCTATACGCACAAAGAATCGAGAAATGAATAAAATGAACGCTCCAACTTTCATTTTACATATTTGTTTGCGAAATGAAAAATAGTATATAAATTCGTCTCCAAATTTTCTTTTTTTTTTTTTCTTTTTAATGACCAACCATCTAGAACCGAGATATTTTGATTTTTATAACTAGGAGACGAATATTTATAGAGATATAGCGTACTTACCGGCACCTTCCCATTCGTTTTCTCCGTGTCGTTGTTCTCCAACAAGGGTGCACTGCTGCTCTTTCCACCCATTTCCACGCTTAGCGGTTCCGGTTTCAATTGGAGGCTGGCGGCGGATGGGGATGAGGGTGCTCGCGGCGGTGTCTCCAATAATTCTCCAGAGCTTAGGGAGCTACTCGCGGTGGTGGACAGACCTATCACAGAGATTAAATTAAACAAATCGTAATCGAATATTAACATTCCTCCCCTTGATATGAATCCTCACAGTTTACGATCACAATCGAGGATCAAATATTTTCACGAACTTATTGAACAACCTTCTCCCCCATCTCTCCTCCGTTACACGTTTCACGCAACAACGCACATTCCTACATATTTCCATTTGCATCCTCTCGAGAGCAATGCCAATTATCATCTTGGAAACCTTCTCTCCCAACTCGAAATATTTTCCCGCTTTCTCTTCTCCCCACGGGTCACATTTAATTGCTTCGCAAATGTGAGCGAGACAAAAGTGGTTGTTTGAATATTGTATCCCTCGAGAGAGAGAGAGAGAGAGAGAGAGAGAAAAAGAAAGAGAAAAAAGAAAAAGGAAACAACGATCGGCATTTCGAGCCGTGCAATTTGCATGTCTCCCTCGCAACACTCACGACTGTCCACGCGTGCAACGTTAATGAAACTCACACAGAGGCAGATTGGTCGGTCGAGGCGGCTTGATCCTCGGCAGGGTGTCGTCGAGGCCGCTGCTGCTGTCCACCGCGTCCTGGGAATATTGGTCCTCGTTCTCCTTCGTCTGAGTGTGCACGCTCTCGCGTTTGATCCACACGTCCTGCGAGTGTTTGTCGCTCCGCGAGTTCAACTTGGAAGGACGTCGCCGGATCCTCTCCCATGTCTCTTTCCGGTGACACTTGGCTGAGGACGGGGCTGCGAGGAGAATACGTCTCTTTGATGATGATGGCAATGATGATGGCTCGAGTGGTGAGTCGAAGGATGTGACGAGTATTGATAATGGATCGAAATGCAACGTGATGGATTGGAATTTTTGGTTTTTTGCACTTGGAATCTCAGGTTTGGATTATTTTTTTTTTCTGTGCACGATTAAATAATTATTGGGAAATTGAGTTATACATTGTGTTATTTTTTTTAGAATTTTAACAAATTCCTTTGTTTTTCTTGTTTGGTCGTTTGTTGGGCAATTGAATATTAATCAATATTTGGAGTGTCTGAATAAATAATAAATAATATAATAATATAAAGGATAAATGTAATATTATACTTCATTTTATATTTATCGTTATTTGCGACACTATACATTTCTCGATTTTTCGATTGTTTATTAATTTACGATGTTGATCGAATTGCATTCTGCCATAAACAAATAACAATTCGCACTGAGCATCCAATCTAAAGTTATTAAACCAAACGGATTCGAGTGCACTACTATTTAAATATTAAAATTAATTTTGGTTAACTCAAGTGATAGAGGTAAACGAAAAATGGTCCAAAATACCTTGAAAACATAGGGAAAAATCTATTGTTAATTTAACTATATTAAAGATTTATAAATAGATAGGATTAATTTGGCGAATGTGAAATGAGAACGAAATTCGAATGATTTCAGGCAATGAACGAACACACTCCTACGAATGTTTCAATTAACTATTGATGCATCGTTTCCCGAAATTCACCATCCCCCGCCACGAGAACATATCAAATTGCACGGTTACGCGAGTTAATAAAAATGTCTTCGAGGTAGACTCAAGGCTCTAAGTAATTCGAGCAATGTTAATCGACTTACGCTTAACTATCCGTCGATCGGTGCTTCTAGGAGGGCTGGCAGTGCCGATACCGCTCTCCAGAGGAGATGCTCTGTCGGTCGTATCCGGCGACATACTTCCGGAGGAAATCTCGTCCATGCTCTGAAGAAGATCTTGAGACGACGAGGACGACCTATTGTCGTCGTCCACGGTGTCTTGCGGCGAGGCAGGATCCAACGTGCTTTCGTCCTGCAGCGACTGCGAATCCATCTGCGACTCCGCTGTGAACATTTATATTAAACGTTAGACGAGAATAATCGTGTATCAATCTCGCTTTGTGCTTGAAAATTCTTCGTAGATTTATGAAGAATGAAAATGAATCTTTTTTTTAGAAATCTGTTTTTCCAAATTCTCTATATAAAATATAAATAATACGAATAACCTTTTCTTAGCGATTATTAAAGCAAAACTTTGTTCGAAATTGACTCTTTCATATAGCATATATATTAACAAAACATGTATTAATTATTGAAATATAAAATTAAATATGCAATCGTTGATATTATAAAATTTAATAATTAAAAAAGAACATAAAATTCTTAATTATTTTCCTCAAAATACAAAATACTTTATCTAAGAAAAGTTCTATTCCATTCTTCCCATTACTTATAATTCTGCTATATTAAAAAACTTTAGTTCTTATTAATTAAATGAACTTTCATAAATTCCCTCATTAGCTCCTATTTCATAAAATATAAATCATAACGAATCATTTAATTTTCGTTACATGAAAAATTTTCCCCGTAATAAGAGAGATAAAACTTACGATCGTCGAGTTTCATTAAATCGACAATTAGTCGATACGAAGGCAGAGTTACCTTCGAGTTCAAATAACGATAGGGGAAGAGGAAGAACGCTTGAACAGGCATGAGAGAGTTTACCTCGCGGGGAGTCGCAATCGCTGACCCACGTGAAGCTGAAACTTCTGGAAATAGCTGGGGAAGTTTGCGTCGCTATGTCGGAGCAAGTGAGAGAATCCATCGGCGGGCTGTTCGGGCAGCACGAGCCGGACCCGTTTCGGATCTTCGATAACAGGGATTGAAGAGAAATCGGTAGCTGAAAGTATATTTCACTTGGTTATTATATCGTGGAACAGATTCGATCTTGTTGCCCGCTAGTCCACTTTTTCCGATCGAATGTGCTCTCTCGAGAAATAAATCTAATTCACGACCCCTTTGAAGTACACTTCTTCGAAAGAGCTTTGGCTTTTTTTTAGATATATCTCTCATAATTTTCCTTTATCGTGAAATCTGTTTATCCGATTAAAATTATTGAAAACAAATTACGTTTAAATTAACGATTGTCGTGGAATTCTATTTTCGTGTATGCGAATTAACCCTTTGACAACTATTCACGTAGAAATTTCGTTCCATTTATTCCGTAAAGCTACGAAGATGGTTGTTATTTCAATAATCCTTGAATTTTCTTTTTCGCTTTACAATTCCACGTTTTATTTTATTGCACGTATCATTTATCGACACACGTAATTGATATCCCAATATAAATATTTACTCTGTACAATTAGTTATTAAAATTTCCAATTAAATTCCTTTAACCTCGTTGAAATTAATCTTAATTTATCGATCAATGCATCTCGATACGTAACATTTAAGAGTATTTTATACGGAAAAAAAATCCAAAGTTAAGGGGGAAAAGAAAAAGGACTCGCAAATACTCACCGAACCGGATCTGGAATTTTGCTCGTCCAGTATCTTCTTCACGTCCACGTTCTCCACCCGTTCGAACTTCCCGCTGTCCACGCTCCCGATGGATCCGACGTTGTCGTCTTCCGGAAGATCGCAACTCACTCCAACGTCGTTGCCCCTCGATCTCGAGAGCGAGAACTTCTTCAAATCCACGGGACTGACCTGCCTCACGTCCTTGTCGGACTCGGACAACCGTTTCGCGGATATATCCGAGCGCAAGGTGAGAGGCGACACGGCCCTCTTCTTCGACAGGCCCTCCTTCGCGCAACCGTTCTTCGCCCGCAACGCCTCGTTTCCGTCGAGATGAAGGAAATCCTGATCCGGCAAAGAGGACACCCTGACGAGGACAACGTCGTCCGTGCTCTCGTGGAAGACGGGCGCGTGCTTCTTCCACAGGATCTTCGAAAACGGAGACTTCTTCTCCTCCGTTGGCGTGACGGGGGCCGATTTAGGCCCGTTACCGTCCAACGTTGGCCTCCCGCCAACCACTTGCGCCGCCACCTTGTCGTCCTCCTCCGCCTCGTAATCCGGATCCATCGCGCTCTGCTCCTCGTTCCGTCGAATTCTCGCCAACCTCGGCGTCCTTCTCCTCTTCTGACCCGTCAAATTCACAGGCAGGCTAGTCTTCCTGTGGGGGTCGCGTTGCCTCGGCGGTAATTTCGCGCACGACTCGTCCGTCTCGATGCACGGCCGAACCGGGATGGGCCCGAGCCGAGGACAGGTGCTGCTTCCCCTCTTCCCCTCATCCTCGCCGCCCCTCCAACTTATCTCTACTAGATCGTGTTTCTTTGGTTGATCGTTTCCAAGGTACTTGGCGCGCGGACCGACTTCCTCCGTTTCCCCGCCGCTCGCGTGTCCACGGTCCAGTTTCGAAGGTAGACTAGAGGTATTCAGATCGATCCCGCCGCGACGATGATCCTCCACGAACGCCGTCCCCGAGGGATCGCGGCCGTCGTCGAGATTCGGGCCAGGGGAGGGGTAATACCTCGCGCGTTCCCCTATCAACCGTTGCAGATCCTCGGGCAGGCTGCCGCTCTTTCTCCGATCGTTTCTCGCGGAGGCGAGGCGATCGAGCGGCGGCTCGTCGTAGCCCAGGCTCAACAGGAAGCCCGTCGTCGCCTCGTCGTTGAACAACTTCCCGTTTCGCCGATCGCGGACCTCGTTGCTGGCCGACGACGACCGATGATAGAAACCGGCCGCCGCCTCGCACGAGCTCCCGATCGAGCTCTCGCTGCTGTCCGATATCCCGAACTCGTTCAACAGCTCCTTGTAACGCACGATCCTCGCCTCCTCCTTGCTCCTCTTCCGCTCGAGCTCCCTGGTCAGCTCGTCGATCTCGTTCGCGATTATCGTGTTGAACTCGGCCAGGATGTTGTTCGACCAATCGCCGATGTCCTCCACGGCGTTGCAGCCCCTGCACCCGGAGGAGTTCTGCCGTCTCGAGCTTCTCGCGGCCGATGATTTGACGGGGCAGGGCTCGTATCGGGCCGGCTCCACCGGCGGGGCCGGCTGCGCGGGATGATACTTTGGCTCGTCTGTAATGATCAGGGGAGTGGACGGCGCCGACTCGATGATTTCACCGATCTCTTCCTGTTGGCCCGCAAAAAAAAAAACGGTTAACGAGAGATTTAGAGAGGAACAAAGGCGAATTTTTACGTTTCATTTGATGTTTCTATTGTCCGAGTTATCGTTGTCGTTGTTAAAAACGAGTTAGAGTTTATGAATCATTTAAAATAACTTTTATATATAAAGATTTAATTAAATCTATATTTTAAATATTTATGTAGTTTAAAAAGAAACATTTTTATTTCAACAATTTTAAATTTTATAATAATTATTTATATTTATATATATTTATTGACGTCGATAATCAACAATATTGGAATAAAGACGTAAGAAAATAATGAGAGATGTTACCGCGCAGAAGAAATAATAATGTTTCTTTTTAAACTTTCTATCGCGGAGAGAAAATTAAATCGCTGGAACCGCGGGATCAATCGCGATATTTAAACGAAGGGGAAACGTGTAATGCTACGGAGCAAGAGTCGATGGATGGGATCGACATTGGCATTACGATTCATCCCAAAGCTCGTCTCGCGCGAGTTATATTACCGCAACCGTCCCAGGCCATCTGACGAATCGTAACGACACCGCCGCGTTAAAACTGAAATGTCAGTTCAGGAACGAAGTCACAATGGAATACCAGATTGCGCGAGCAAACATCGAGGAAATATTTAAGTAATATTCGTGGGGAGGAATCTTACTTTTCACTGGTCGACTGGCGATCGATCTTGACGCGAGAAATGGAACTGGAACGAGTGGATGGCGTGTCGAAATCGTATAAAATGGTCCATAACGAACTGGTTACGACTCTGACAGAGACGATACGCGTGGTCGTTGTTCCTAACGCTCCATCTCGAAACGAAAAATCAAACAGTCCCGGCACGACTTGGCTTACGACTTGGCCGTGGAGAAAAAGCGATGCCTCTAATTTATGGGCCGATCTTCACCCGGTGGACAAGGGTCAATTAACCTCGATCACCTACAGGTTTAGAAACCTGTTCGGTTCGTACGACACTTGTTGTCGAGTTTTCTACTGTTCCAGTTGGTCCGCTCCCCCAAGTATTTGGCTCTCGACATAATAGAAGAGAATTGGAATCGTTAAAAAGATTGTGTAAGAGATAATAAAGCGCGGAGGAGAACTTGTCCGATCGATGATGATTTAGTGTCTGGCCAACGTTGTAACGAGATGTCTTTATCGCGCCTCCAACACGTGGAAACATGAAATTCAAGGTGAAATTGGTGTTATCGTGATTTCAATACGACGTCCTCCTGTAAAGGATACTTGTATCGCGATCAAAAAGTTTCGATGTTTGGATTCGAAATAACATTATCAAGAGTCGTATCATCAAGAATTGCTTAAAATTCTGGCGCGAAAGTTATATTCTCCTAATAATTGAACATTTTAATAGAACTTTCTCCGCTGTTCTCCACACTTTGTCAAAACTCTTTAATTTTCTCCCAATGGGAATGAGGCTAAACTTCCATCCATCAAAAACTTTCGAACACCGTTAAAGAGCAACGTGATATTCCAACGAAGCGAGAGATAAAAATGGAAGAAAAAAAAAAAAATAAATAAATAAATCTTCCTTTGTCTCCAAATTCATCAATCATTAAACGCAATCAATTTTATTCCCTACAACTAACTAGTTTTCCATTCGATCGCGTAAAATTTTCAATTATTCCATCCAATTCGAATTCGCACTTAATACGGATACGTAAGGATCGATTCGACCGAATCGATTCATGGATCGCATCGAGGGATCGCATATCACCTTCGATGTCTTCGGACGCCATCTATCAAACGGACGCTCGCTATGGCGCGCGTAATGAAAAGCTTGATTAAACTTAGTCGCGGCTAGGTGATCCCGTGGCTAAGATACCAGCACGTTGATACCAGCGCGTCTATCATTAATCAAACGGGCGAATATAATATTCGTGCACGCGTTCCTTTTAAAGAGAGATCCTTTTTTTAACGAGCCGGAGGAGGATCTATCAAACTGAAAAATTGCCCCGACACGCGAGTTCTTTTTCCATCCGCACAAAGGATCCCCCGTATTTATTTCGTTCGGAACGCTTCTTTTTAATTGCATTTCCTCCCGCGGGACGAAATTGGTCTTATCCTTAATACCAATTGCAAATTCAATTTGCAACGAGCTTACGATCGACAGATCACGGTCGGATACGCGATCGCGGGGACGATATCGATATCGATTGCGATTCGAGGCGGGGATCGATGGATCTCGGTCGTGATAGTAAGTAAATTTCGTTCGTTTCAAATTGGGATCCATTCGATCGACGGAATTTAATTAACATCCTAAGCTGATTCAAATATCTTATTCTATTGGCGAGGATATACTTAATTGCAAATAATGTTCGATCGATCCATCATTTCATGGAGCAAATAATAAAAGTTTAAAAAATATATTAAAATTATTGAAATATACTCGGAAAAATTGAAGTCTCCTTTTCGATTCATCTTCAATCCTGGAAATACTATGTTTGAAATGTAAGCGAGAGCAAAAGAATAATAATGATAATTAAAAATTACCCTTTTTTTTTAACAAAAAATTCCTTTAAAGAGAAAAGTTCAACGTTTCTAACGATCGTTCATTCGTTGAGCGAAAGTCACTATCCTCAAAGTTACAGACGCTCAAAGTTTCTCCAACTTTAATATACTTTTCGACAATTTCTCCTGTTCAAAGATATTTTTAATCGCCAACAACTATAAAACAACTTATTTCTTATTTCGATTGAAAATTCGCTGAAGATCCAGCGATGGAAAAATCGCAAATTGATCGTTTAATAACTTTTGCAATAAAATCCGTCGAATTTTAACCACGTTCCGTCGCAATCTCGGAGGTTCGATCGTCAACAAGCGGGAATTAAACGGTTGCAGTCAGCGATTCCATCTAGGGGGTTAGAATTAGCGGTGTGGCGCGATCGGTTTAAACGGTAGAAAGATAGATACATCGGATACGTACAGATTAGTCACCGATAAGAATCCGATGGACAACGCCGTGATAGTTATATTCTCCGTTATATCCCACGTTAAGTCATATGCTGGCTTCAGGCGCACAATGCAACACCCGTGTCAGGACAATGGGAAGCTCGTGCCCGATGATTAATCGCCAGGCTGGTTATAATAACGCGAAACCGCAGCCAGACAAGTAACTAGGGTTTTATTGCGATGGGATCGAATACCGAGACTTCATCGCGATGGAACGAGAGATGTTCATTGGCCGGTGGTTAATTAAAATGCATTGTTAAATTTGATAGGCCTTTTTAGAAACTTTTATCACATTTACCAATAATTCATAGAACATTAGTTGTAAATCAAATTGAGTTATGTTCCTGATTGACTTGCAAAAACACTGTTTCGAAGCTTCCAACATCCCGTAGCAATTATTTCTTGATTGTTGTTACACACGATTCGTAAATTCCCCTTATTATGCATGAATTCCCTCTTCGTATGTTACTCATCGATCGCGTGTGTTTTTCGGAAGAAGAATTGACGAGGCATCGTGTTAAAAAAAAAAGATTCGACAATTTCTGATCGAACAAATTATTACGATTCCTCGTAACCCTATTGTTCCGTAATCACGTTGCGCAAAAGAAAATTCCACGGATGTTTCTTTAATCAGTTCGTTATCCGTCCAATCTCGGGCACGGAAGAAAACAGCTCGCTTTAAAGCACGCGAGCCGAGCTTTCACATAAATATCAGTTTGATAAATGCACCGGGCGGCGCGTTATGGACGGAGAATATTGGAATGGAATCGCGATGCCGATTGTAGGCGTTGCGTCTCGGTTGAGATTAAATGCAATCCCAATCAGGACGATTCACAAACACTTCCGTGTCAGCGGAATGGATTCGTTTAAGCGACCGACTTTCCTTTAATTGTCTTCTCTCTCTCTCGATCGATCGATCGATCGATCGAATTGGGTTAGGCGAAATTTTTATCTATCTCGATGCTTCAAATATTTATTTCGACTCAACTCGCGTATTAAATTCTGCTCTATTCGACGTTTGAAAGATAATTTTCGATATTCCTTTTTGGATACATAATAATGGAAATCCGGTTACAAATTACGAGGATTAATTTTTTTCCCCCTCCATCTCTAATAAATATCGCTACGTTTTACGATTACGCAAGATATCAGGATTATACGTTGCTCAAATAACCAATAATTTTCAACTTCAAATGAAGCGAAGCCTATCCGAATGATTGAAGACGTTTTCGTTCGAAGGCTCGGCATTAAAGCGCATAAATTTTAGACGAAATGCCACAGAGCGGCTCGAAGAGATCCCTTTCCATCCGTTCGAACAATGGAAAATAAATTCAACCCGTTCCCCGTTAACAACAAATGTGAGAAGCGAAAAGGAAAGTCTCTTCTCTATCAAGGGAGGGAAAGTGGTAACCAGAGAGGTAATATACAAACGAAATTAAAACCAATTATAAACATTGTAAAAGCGTTTCAACCGTTCGAAAGTGTTAAACCTTTCCTCTCTCTGAACGTGATTCTTCTATCTCATGCTTTCAAATCTCGTGTTTCCTCTTCGTTCGTTCTTTCCAAGATACTTTTGTCAAATTTTCAAAACTCGTGAATGATCGATGCAGGCTCTCTTTTGCCAGTATATACATAAATGCACGCGAGAAGAAAATCCATGAAAATCTACGGAAGAAGATTTGCGTTAATAAAGAAGAATGGAGGAAAGGTGTGAAATAATTGGCAAAACGAGTCTTGTCCAGTTATTAAATCACGATTGCACGTGATTCATAACGGTGCACGTTGGTCGAACGATAAAATTTTAAACACCCCATTGTCCTGATCGCTATTGGCGACCTCGTAGATTCCGCTCGTACATCACCGTGTAGTATCGACTTCTCCCCACAGAGATTTTTTCCTCGCCACACGTGTATATGTATATATATATGTGTGTGTGTGTGTGTATTTCCGCCTTTAACGGGCCGCAAATAGAGATATCCAGGCACGGTGTCATTATAGGAGATACGCCTACAAAGTCGTA